TGTCAACATGTTGTGTGTCTGCACCCTTATTTTAGGCACTGTAAAGAGCAGGTCCGTGAATGGACAAATGGCATCCTCTTGCTCTGCGGACTAGCTCCCTGCATGTTCAGATAGGCTGAGTTTGGTTTCAGCCCTCTGGAACCAGCCCAGCCCTGGGTGAGCGAGTCAGAGGCTGTTCTTGGTTGTTAGTAAATGATCACACAGGCAAAATCCCACTCTGTTACACCTGAGCAACCCCCTGAAGGTGACGGGTCTTCAGAGTTTTAAGTAAAAGCTGAATTTGGTCTTCCCGTACCTTTTAGGCAAGGTGGCAATAGATTCACTCCTCTCACTTGTTCTCCTGGCCCTGTGAATCTTGTATCAGGGTGACTCAGTGGCTCAGCTTCAAGAAGGTGGTTGCAGGGTACCTCCACCCAGGTCAGGGGTGGGCAAAATGCGGCCTGCAGGCTGGATGTGGCCCGCCAGGCCATTCTATCCAGCCTGCGGGGCCCCTAAAAAATTTAGAAAATCAATATCTATCTGCCCCTGGCTGCCTGTCATGCGGCCCTTGATGGTTTGCCAAACTCAGTAAGTGACCCTCCACCCAAAATACTTGCCTGCCCCTCACCCAGATGCTTCTGTCCCCTACTGGTTATGGCACTCACTTAGGAAGCGAGAGATGGGCTGAGGACATTGAATCCATATCTCCCACTGCCTAAGCAAGTGCTCTAGCCAGTAGACTACAAGGCAAGAGATGGCCACTGTCCTCATCTTCTTGCCTTAATGCAGCCATGGGGGCTGCTTTTGGCATTGAACTCAAGGTGTTTGGCACCTTCTCTTGGATGGCGGAGGCACCTAATGTGAGGCCTTCAGTCAGGTGCCTGGCATTTCCTATTGGCTACCTGTAGGCGCCTCTTTTCAGCACCAAGGTTCCCTGCTCAGCACCTTCTGGAGGTATCTAGCTCCCCATATCCAATCCAAGGCACCCTGGACGCCTCACCCTGTTGATCTGGATCGCCCTCCTGGGGCAGGCAGGCTGTTGCAAGGTGCCTCACTGAGACGTATGTACTGCTTTGGATCTAACCTCAAAGGTTTTGTACCACGTGAAAACCAAATTTATGGTGGCCGTCTATAAACTTACCAGGGGGGACCAGCAGGGAACAGGAAAGTCCCTGTTCCCACAAGCACTACCCGGAGTAACTAGGAATAATGGCCACAAGTTGACTGTGTAGGTTCAGGCTAGACAGCAAGAAGCACTACTTCGCAGGGCAGCTAGGATCTGGAACAAACTTCCAAGAGAAGTGGTGCTCGCTCCTACCCCGGGGGTCTTCAAAAGGAGGCTAGATAATCACCTGGCCGGGGTCGTTTGACCCCAGCATTCCTTCCTGCCATGGCAGGGGGTCGGACTTGATGATCTGCTCAGGTCCCTTCCGACCCTACCTACTATGAAACTGAAATCTCCCTTTGAGCTGACTACCTCTGGCTCACAGCAGGCAGCTCTGCTTTGGGGTGCAAGGTCTGAAGCTTCAGGTGAGCATAAGTGGAATTTGGCCCACACCCTCGAATGAATGAGATGCCGCTGGTATAAAGGCCAGGCACGATCGTCGCTCTTTGGTTTTCCTGCAGCAAAGCTGGCTAAGACCACCTCTCCTCCCAGCAGGAAATCCTGAGAACAGAACGATTGGAGCAAAGCAGGCACTAGCTTCTCCCTGTAATTCTCATAAATTACAGACCATTTTCTCCTTTCACTTTTGTTTTATCACTGCTATGTGGAAGCATGGTCAGTGCATGCCAACTAGACACTTCATAAAGCCAGGGACTCTCCACAACCCTTTGTCCCTCTGGCAGGGGAAGTCCTGTTAGACTAAAAGAACCAAGAGAATCTCCTGGGTGATTCTTTTCAGGATTGCCTTTGGCTAGCTTGTTTCCTTCAAAACTGCTCGGTTCCCTTTTTTGAAAAAGAAACTTGGAATAAAATTAAGCACCAGAAATAATCCAGAAAAGAGGTTGTTCTTTTTTTTTTCTTCTCTGATAAAACCCGGCCCCCTCATATTTTTAGCTAATGCGATGGGTATATAAATCAGTGCTGACTTGCATAGACAGATACGAATTTTCCCTGCACCCAGCAGAAAGAGAAAGGGAACCTGCTGATGTGAGTCTTTCCTATTCCATGGCATTGCTTGCACTGGGGGTGCTTGGAGCACTTTGGTGCTGGGGGTAGGGGTGGCTTATGAACTGCACAGCAAAGAGAAGAGGTGTGGGTTCATCCTCCTCTCCTGGTGCCTGCTAGAGCCTCCCTGCCGTGCTTGACTTTTTATCCCTAGCTTCTGGAAAGGAAATAATTTGTCTCTGGGATGCACCAGGTGGCACCAAATGGCAGGTATTTACAAGTCATGTCCCCAGGGCAGCGATGCCCAGCCAGCACTTCATCCCTCTGCAGATTACTCAGGTCAGAAGGAAAGGAGGGCAATAAGCCACAGTTCAGACTCTTTGCAACAGGGCAGTGCACAGTAGCTCTCGTTTTTCTCCAAAGGCTCCTCTGCAAAAGGCTCAGGCCTGCAAGCCTTTCATGTGCAGAATTCCCACTCTTCCCTGGGAGGTCTGGGTGGGGGCAGTTACGGGATCAGGCCCACAATACTTTGTGTTAAAGCAGTAGTGAAGCTGTCATGGAGCCCTATTCATCTGAATGAAACACAGCGCCGTACCTTCAGTTAGGATCTGGACCAGGGATGATACCTGCCCCACCTGATGCCTTTGTGGCCCTTATTAGAGTCTGCAGAAACTCGTTCAAAAAGACTGATTAGAAGCTGGCCTAACCACTGTAAAGAAATTGGGTGTAATGGAGGCAGTTGCATCTGCCTGAGTCTGCAGGCAGCCTGGAACAATGGATCTACAGAATCCCTGTCTCACCTCTTTATTTCATGGGCTCATTAGTGCCGACACAGCGCTTGAATGTCAATATTAACTATTTTGTGACTGGTTATATTAGCAACAATTGCTGTGGGGGCAGAAGTGTGAAATGGTGGGTGGGAGTGAAGAGTCATTGCCGTGAAGGAACTGGAAAGGGATGGAAAGACAAAGGCGAAGCAGGGAAAGAAGAGAAAGAGTGGTTGGAGGAGGCATCCATTGAGCAGGCGGGGAGGTAGATTTTTCCAGAGCAATGCTAACAGCTTAACAGATGAGACACGAAAGGACAGGGCTACATTTTGTAAGGTACTGAGGTGCTTACGGCCGGCAATAGGTGCCTAGCTTTCCCTTGACTGCATTGCTAATCTCTCCGTCATGGCAGTGGGAGATCTGCGGGAAGCTCTCCATCTCCATCCCAGCTCACAGACTGCTGTGGAGCCTGGGGTGCGGCCCACTGAGTCCCCTTTGATTCCTGTCCACCCACTATTGTTATTCAGTACTCCACCCATTACTTCACCCTAATTCTGTACCACGCAGCTCTTGTGTGTCGCCAGTGGCTGAGCCGAGGCAGGAAAACACAACTATCTGCAAGGCCTGCTTATATCCACCTGAAAAGCAGTTCTCTTCTACAGGAGGGGAAAGGGACTTGCCCAGGGACATGGAGGGAGGGAGTCAGTGCCAGGATCAGCCCGTAATTAGAAGCTTTAATTCCCATGCTGGCGGACCACTAGACAGTGCTTGCGATCTCTGTTAATTAGACTAGATTATGGGATAATCCTTGCCAATTATAAATTATTATACATGGTGCAATCCTCTCCCTCCTGCTAACGCCCCGTGAATGTGCGGGCATCTCTTCCTGGTGTGCTGCATTAGCACTCACGCAGGCGCAGCCTTTTCCTTTCTGGCCGTTGATGCATTCTCACGAGGCCAAACCCTGGTCTAGACCCTCGTGGTAACTGGACTGGACAGACTGGGAAGAGGCCTCGGAGAGCGAGGGGCTGTCATGCAGTGCCAGGGTCTCTGCAGAGCACATGGGCTGCCAAGAGTGCGAGCCCTTGCCTAGCCCCTGAGCTGGGCAGCATGGCACTCAGGATAAAAACCCCCTTTCCATGCTGCTCTGGGGAAGGAGCTCCGCTGGCTCCTCTGACAAGGCTGCACTAGCACAGCTCCAGTGAAACACCGACAGAGCCAGTGGGACAGATACGGCCAATTTGCGATAGTTTCCGGCAGACTTTGGCTCTGGTGAGAAGCCTGGTCCAACGATCCCATCGCAGCAGCGAACGGGTCAGCGTACGCATTAACCCCAGGATATGCTGCTCACAGAGAACATATCTAGCCATCAAGGAGAAGGGAAAAAAACAACCCACGGTATTTCATCTGCTTAACCATCCACCATGGAACAGCTATCTCTTTCCCACTGTGAACTGCACGCCCCTTTTACGATGCCAGGCTGTCAGAAGGCCTCAATTTTCTGCTTAGTAAATATAACTCAGGCCCTGCTGTCCAGTGCAGTGATGGATCGCCTGTTCTCTGGGAAGCACAAAGCCCTGTAGAGGCAATCCTTAATTAAGTAACCTCCAGAGGCCCCTTCCAGCCTTGCTGCTCGAAGTCTCAGCATGCTGCAGCAAGCAGTGCACCCATTTTACAGAAAGCTAATCCAAAGTGCAGAGCAATGACTAAGCTCCTGCCAAAGCCACACTAAGAGCTGGAGGCAGAACCCAGGAGTCCTGTATCCCGCAGGGCATCACTGAACAGGCCAGTTGTAAAAACTAGTTCATCTCATATTGGTAAGAAAGAAGGTAGTTATCAATCATCACACTGCTTTGCCTAAGCACAGACAGTCACTTGGGGGAAGCATCTACCCACCACAAAACCCCAGCGATTGCTTGTGTTTGGGTGGAGTGACACACTTTTTTCTTCACATCGTGTACCAGATCACCGAGGGTGCGGGGGGAAGGAGGAGGCAGCGCAGGCACTGTTTCTATGCCACGGGCAGCATCGTTAGGGAGCTGAAGCACTGGAGTTTTTAAATAAAGCTAGAAACAGAGCTCTCGGTAGATGCTGTTGCTGCGTTTTTTAATTGTCCGTATGCTGCATCCATTATGTTTCCCCAGATGGCAGGGCTGCTTAACTACTACTTCCTCATCTGTGCTGCGATTGTGCGGATCTCCAGCCGGTACCTGGAACCGAAAGGTAAAAGCCACTGCCTCGGTACCAAGCGCTGAGAAGTCGTAGGGATTCATCACAGTGCCCCGTGAGAAATGATCTGGGCTGCTGGGAGCGAGGGCAGTGTGATCAGAGGGAAGGGAGAGCCCCTTCCTTTACTGGACTTAATGGGGGGACCCCCAGGGGTGGCTGTGATCCTATGCCCAATCCTGACCAGGGCCCCATGTTGGTCTGTGTTTGTACAGCGCTGAGCACAAAGACCACCTCTCTCCTGGAGGAGGTGGCAGCTTTTAGTCAGATGCTGATCAGAGAGATAACGGGCTTTGCGGTGACGGGCCTGGATCCTGGCACGGCAGCTGGGGGTGTTGTGCTTATAAGGCAGCGATAAGCAGCACATGGGAACCTGATCCTCAATGATTAAGAGCACTGTGCAGCTGCCCTGTTATTCTGGCTTAACAGCAGGAGCCAGGCCCCTTAGGAAAACATGCAGTTAAGTATCTCATTAGTGTGATGAGAGTCACTCTTGAACCCCTGTCTCTGACCACAGCTTGCCCCTTCTGTATCCTATACACTGGAGCAAGTGCACAGGGGGCTGGCTGCCAGCTACCGCACAGGATGCCCCATGCATCACCTCCCTTGCTCTCCCCTTGCACGGGGCATGCCAGCCTGCTGTCCTGTAAGCAAAGATTTGCAGGTGCATCGAGATTTTGCTCTGCCTTTGTTTGGCCAGCTGGGGCAGGGAGGGAACGGGCCTTGACGTGGAGCAGGGGAGGTGGAAGGCCTCCCGGCCAGTGGCAGGGAGCTGCAGATGGGGCGATGTGGCAGCATCTGCTTTTGTTATCTGAGACTCAGTGCTGTGGGCAGGGGCTTGTAGCTACACAAATATGGGGAAGAGAGAAGCACGTGCACGGGGACCTTGTGGCCTGAGCCAGGTGTTAACAGTCATCTGCGGGGGGAAGAATCACTCACAGCATGCATGTGCTGAAAGCCACGATGCTAAACAAACCAACTCTGCGGCCTTCCCGCATTTCCTCCTGTCCCGGATATCAAAAAGCTACTTTCCCATCTGACATATTCTAGGCCTGCAAAAAAGAAATGGTTCATTTTAATCAAAGCAGAATAGCATCTGGAATCCTACTTCAGGGCTCTCGGCTTCTGCGCTCTTCTGCACTAAAATAGGTAGACAGATGTTTGCTTCCAGATTTAGAACAAAACGAACCCCAGGTTGAGATTTCACTTGCCAAGGTTTTAGCCTGGAGTAAATTTAACAGCTACATTAAAAGCCCCTGAAATAGAGTCGTAGCAGTAGCACTCTGTTAGAGCCCTAACTAGAGGATGGAGGTGAAAACAGCCTGGCTGTGATGCAGGCTAGGTAGAGATGCTCTTCCAAATACATTTCTGGTTTAGGCTGTGAAGAAGGCGGTGTTCCCTCCTGGAATATGTGGGGTAAAAGTGCAGTAGGAATATTATAGCTCTTTGAATGCTAACTTCTCTACAAGTACAGGCTTCACAGTATTACCAGTATGATGTTGCCTAGGTCTGGTAGCAAAAGTGAATGGCAATCAGCACGACGGATGCTATAGCAGCCTCCCCTCCCCAATTTTCCCCTTGTTGTCTCCAGGAGTGTCTTCCCACTTCAACCTGCAGTGTTTCATGCTTTATCCCAAGTACATGTCATGCCACTGGAGTCCACAGGATGGTGCTCAGCCCAATGCAACTCTCCACCTCAGGTACAAGATGAGGTAAGGAAAAGTGGACGGAAATTTTATCTGCGGCACGAAACACAATCCTCAGCGCAGTACAGGCTCATGGGAGAGCCCACAACTTTGCAAGGGCTTACAGCAGGCTAGGATGCAACTCTTGCTTGAGATTGTTTCATTCTCTGCATTTGGGTTTCCCCCCCTCCATTAGCGTTTTGTGCGCACTGTGGGCTGGGCTGGACAAGCAGCGCAATGGCTGCATTGCACCGTCTCCGAAAAAGTAGATGGAAGTGAAAATAATTGTTTAAGTGTCTTTCTATTCACATATTTGGCCCTACAGTACAGATGGGTCTTCCAGAGCTTATAATGTGCTGCTGTGGGTGCTTGGACAATTGCCGGGAAGTCAGAAAGAAGCAGCCCCCACTTTATGTGTGTCTGTGAATCACATGCATTGGTCTGACCCTCTTTAACTCCTCCGGCAGGCCTATACAGGAGGTAGGTGCCTCAGGGATGGGTGTTAGGAGCTGGACATACCAAGTGCACCTTGCCATGCCATCCATCCAAATGGTTGTCCTAAGGAAATGGCTGACAGCACACAAGCATATTCCAGCGGCGGTGCAATGGGTTGAGAAATGAATAACCTAGAGACTCGGGTACATGCAGGTCAGGATGCTGCAGTTTTGAAAAGAAATACTGTACCTTCTTTTAGATGAAGCGTGAGATGAGGGGCAGCTGAATTAGACCTTACTGCAAAGAAGCCTAATTTTTTTCCCTTTGGCTCAGGGGAGCAACAGAAGTTGAAGAGTGCAAAGACTACATCACCCAGGGCCCAAACTCCTGCTACTTCAGCCGTGTCAACCTGTGCCTGTACCTGACCTACGAAATCTGGGTAGAAACTGCCAGTGAGATGTCGGAGAAGCTGGTTGTTAACACGGAAGACATCGGTGCGTGCAATTTGATGTATCACTGCTTGATTGGTTGGGTCTCTGATTAACAGCATTCTCAGCAGACAGGAAATTAAAGTAAATCCTCACATTTAGGGCCCGATCAAAGCCCGCTGGAGTCAATGGAAAGACATCTAGTGAGTTGAACGGGCTCTGGATTAGGAGAAAGGAAGTCTGTTGTAGTGGTCTTACTGGAGCCTGGAGCAAGTGAGCTATTAGTTCCCTCTGGAGTTGCATGCAAAGCAAATGATCTGTGTCTTGGCTCTGGTCAGATGGACTACGTACCATGAGATAAAGGGGAGAAGGCTTTTACACCGTGTCAGCTCCACTTCTACCTCATGGTAAGTAGTTTGTCTGCTTCCCCATCTACCGAATAGAGATCACACACCTCGCCAAGGCAAACCATAATTATAACTTCAGGTCTGTGCAGTTGTTTGAAGAGCTCTTGCTGTTCAGGCCTTGAAGTGCTCTTGCTGTTCACCACCCAAGCCTTGTCTTTGATAGGGAAAGGGTGGAGATTTGACTACAATGTGTACCCAACAGGGGATTAAAATCCCAGGGTGGACAAAGCCACTCCTAGTTTCGACGTATGCACCTGCACGAAGGGCCTTTTCCACGCTAGGATGTTAACCTTGCGCTGCTAGACCCTTGGTAAAAACCTGCTTTATTTTCCACATGCCCCTTACGTGAGCAAGACACCCCACAAGAGCACGCTCTGCTTTAGTGCTCTCAGCGTGAAGCTCACACGAGGACCGGCTGTCCCCCGTGCTCAGAGCCCAGGCCCCACCTTTGCTGAGAAACAAAAGAAACTTCAGCCAACGCTACAGCTGTCTCCTTCCCCGACAGTCCCTGGGGCCAAACAGCAGAGGAGGCCTCCACCCAGGGGGCAAGTGCCTTAGGGTGCTCGTTATCTTATAGGACTCCATCCAAAGGCTGGAACAAGAGAGACCCCTGCCTCCAGGGCTGCTTATGCTAATAGGTACCCCCTCCACCCCTCTCCCCACCCCTCCAGGGAGCCTGCTGGCTTAAATACAACCTTCTACTGATTGCCTGCACAGCTGCTGCTGCTGTCTACCTGTATTCCCTTTCCTCACTGCACAGAGCCTTTCCCGGAGGGGTGGGGGGAGGACCGGAGGAGCACTGCCTCCTGAGTTAACCTCCTTCTAAATCTTGTGCCATCGAGCCTGACCCGGTCCGTGTCTTGCTTCTTGCCTCTCCACCTCTCCGGGGCTCAGTTCTGCAGCTGCTGCCTGCCATCAGCCTCCAGTGAAGTCAACGGGGAGGTACTCGCATGCAGCTGCTCCAGAATCAGACCCTTGCCCCTCAGGTGGAAGGCCAGATGCAGGAGTGTCTTGTAGAGCCGCGCTAAAAAAAGCTAGAAATATGTCAATTTGATGGAGCTCTAGGGAAAAAAAAACCTGGGTGTGCCCCATCTGTGAGCTCAGGGTGCTTGTACATGTGATGCCATTACCACGCACACGTGATGAAAAGGTCACTTGGTGTGGCTTAATGGCATCACACTGTACACATGCAAGAGTTTGGGGGGTTTTAAATGAGTTTGCACGTTGTTTAGTTTGCAACATTGCAAACTGCAATGATGCTGGAGTCAGCTCGCCTCCCCCCCCCCCCCCCC